TTTGTGATGGATATTACATTGCTGCTTGAGGAGAATATCCTGGCGTGTGCGTGTGTGTGTACGTATGTGGATAAATGTGTGTAAAACTAATATACTCAGACACGTAACTGTTTACTCCGAGTAAATGTATTCAGAGAGTGCGTTTGATCCTTTGCCATCAAAATTTTCGCAATCTCTTAAAGTACATTTTCAAATTGGAAAATTGAAAAGTTTAATAATAATTTGTAATATGTACAGAAGCAGAAGAATTGAAAATTCCATTTTATGTGTGTAGATAATTGCAAATGCCCAAGTTCATCAATGGAGAGAGAAAAGAGAGAAAACTTAATTTTGAGTAAACAAATAACCTTTTTCTCATGACGTTACTCAAGCTAGTCGAAGAATTTAAGGTATAGCTCGGCTCCAGCAGCACTATTCTGGTATTATACCCTTAGCTACATGGCTAGAGGGGGTATAAATCATTTGATACGGCCAATACGTGCCACGGTTTTAGACCCTAGATATCTTTGGATCAAATCCGTTTCAGAACATTTGGAGTCGATAAATGTGTTGTAAAATTCCGATTGCTTCAAATTACACACATCACAATATTTTTATTAACCCAAGTTCTGGTGATGGATATATATCGGTCCACTCCTTCTGGAACCTCCCCACAAAGAGTCAACATTTTGAATATCCATGTAGCTCATAAAACGCGAAATAAACATTCGATTCAATTCAGACTTGGCATATCTCAATATTTCTATCAACACAAGATCTGTTATAAAGATGGTAGAGATCGAATCAATTTATTAACCCAAGTTCTGGTGATGGAATATATCGGTCCACTCCCTCTGGAACCTCCCCACAAAGGGTCAACATTTTGAATATCCACGCAGCTCATAAAACACGAAATAAACATTCGATTCAATTCAGACTTGGCATATCTCAATATTTCTATCAACACAAGATCTGTTATAAAGATGGTAGAGATCGAATCGTTGCCTCTTGTTCCTCCCCCACAAAGGGTCAACATTTTGAATAACCAAAACGATTATAAAATCCGATATAAGCCGAAATCCGGTTCACTTCATACTGCACACATCTCATTATTTCTACTTACAACAGATCTGCTGTGAAGATGTGATATATCGGTCCACTCTATCTGGTACCTCCCCACAAACGGTCAGAATTTTAAATATCCAGGAAGCTCATAAATCGCCAAATTAACATTCCATTCTGACTTAGCACATCTCAATACTTCCAATAACACAAGATCTTCTACAAAGATGGTAGAGATCGGACCATTTCTTCTGGTACCTCCCCCACATAGGGTTAAAGATTTTGAAAAACCAAACGCTCAAAGAAAACTAAATAAGCAACCCTCCAACTCTCTTCGAATTTCACACACACAAACATTTTTGCCAACACAAGATCTGTTGTGAAGATGATATTTATCTGCGAACTCCTTCTGGTATCTCGGCCACAAAGGGGCACAATTTCCAATGCTTTTATCTGTCATAAATTGCGAAAGAAGTCAGCGACTTGTCTATCTAAACATTTCTCTCAAACAGAAACGTTAGATGTTCGAGTTTCTTGTAAGTCTGCCCATGCCAATATTAAATGAAGTATGAAAATGGAATACTTCGGTCGAATATATCTGGTACCTCACCCGCATTGTAACATTTTTCATATCTCATATAAGGTGAAGGAAGTAACCAATATTTATATCATATTTATTTAGGTCCGATACGAAATGTACAATATTGGCCCATTCCTTTGGAACCTACTCCATGGAGGGTCAACAATTTGAATAATCGTAACGGAATTAAAAATATATTTAAATAATCGAACATTGGCTGAGGGTATACATCTGCCGGCAAAACAGACCGATACTTTTTAATTGTTTTTTTTTTAACGCCAATCGATATTGCTATTCTGTAGGAAGGAGTCAATTTTGACCCGTAATTTATACTTGTGTAGTCTACGCTCCTTTGTTCTTTTACGAAGAAGGTAGCTGTATTTTCACCAACTCCGACCAGATGCATGGTGTGCAACATTGCCCGTATAATGCCATCTTGACCAGGAGATTTGAAGGTTATCCTTCCAAAAAGTTATCCTTCCATCTTCTGCTGTGTAAGTGTGGAAGAGTGTTAGGGTGGAAATACATAAAGCGCATATTTGGCTGGCCTAAGTTGTCGGCTGGCTTCTTCGTAGAAGAACATAGGAGTTCTAGGTTGACTTAGTTCGATTTTGGCCCTAGGCTCCTTTGTTCATTTCCGAAGAAGCCAGCCAGATAAGCGCTTTATGTATTCCCACCTTTAGTGATTGTTCACTACCACCTGCATCCCTACAACCAGAAAAGTTGGATCCTGATAGGCAACTGAACAGCTTCCTCTAATGATGCCGAGGTGTAAGTCCACAAGAATCTTTGCTACTGGCTGGAAACCTTACCTGACCCGGTCCATTCTCCAGGCTTCGGGAACTCCTGCTGCTTCCAGTTTTTTCAAAATAACCACTCAGATTTCATTCAAGGCCAGCGCTTTGGATGACATCTGCAACATTACCCATGAAACTGTGCTGATACCTCTTCGGCGGGAAAGATCTAATACTCTTCTCGTAGCTCGAGGGGTTGTTAAAATAATCGAGGATGGTTAAATTAATCAACGCATCTCTTCACATAATCAACGCACCTGTTCTCTCATCTTTCTCCTAGGACTTGAGACCGGTTTAACCGTTACCCACAGCCTACTCATAACGGTTATAATGTTACAACACTTTAGAAGTTCTCAAAACGATACGGAAAATATAATTTTACTATAATTAAACGATAAACTTAAAATATAGCAAGCATCGTTTCGTTTCGATGGAGGTAAAGAAAAATGTTCGGAGTTGCTTTCAAATTGGATTTTATAAACAAGTACAAAAGCTGTAAGTTCAGCTGGGCCGAACTTTGAATACCCTCCATCATTTGGAACGAATTCGGCAATATTCACAAAAATAAAATCCGTTAAAAATTCTGTTAAAATCTAAAAAAAACCGAATGTAGGTCTCATACAGGGTGAGATAAAAAAAACTGCAACAAAGTCAAATTGTAACGACAGGTTTCCCCTTAGGCTGGAGTAAGCTCGCCGGGGCCAAGGTTCGTAACAGAAAATTTGTTTGTGTGCGAGAGAGAAAGAGAAAGACGAGTGTTTTACGTTCTATAATGTTTATTCCGTACGCAATAGAGGTATATACAAAGTAAACTGAGATATTGCTTAATACTACTAGGATGACGTCTGTCCGAGATTAGGTGGGTAACTTTTGCCGTCCTTCGAAATGGAGACCTAGATAAGTACTCCTGGTGGGGAATGGACTGGGATGTTGGGAGTTGGAGACCTGGGTAAGTACTCTCACACAGGATACTCTCACTGGGATTCGGATTTTCCAGTTACGTAGGTCTATTGGGGAAATAAGCTAGGCAATACACACGAATTCTACTGCGAGAGACCTTGATAAGTACTCAGGCTAGGATACATAAGGATTCTACGGCAAGCGACCTTAATAAGTACTCAAGCAAGGATACGTAAGGATTCTACGGCAAGAGACCTTAATAAGTACTCAAGCAAGGATACGTAAGGGTTCTACCGCAAGAGACCTTAATAAGTACTCAAGCAAGGATACGTAAGGATTCTACGGCAAGAGACCTTAATAAGTACTCAAGCAAGGATACGTAAGGGTTCTACGGCAAGAGACCTTAATAAGTACTCAAGCAAGGATACGTAAGGATTCTACGGCAAGAGACCTTAATAAGTACTCAAGCAAGGATACGTAGGGATTCTACAGCAAGAGACCTTAATAAGTACTCAAGCAAGGATACGTAAGGATTCTACGGCAAGAGACCTTAATAAGTACTCAAGCAAGGATACGTAAGGATTCTACAGCAAGAGACCTTAATAAGTACTCAAGCAAGGATACGTAAGGGTTCTACTGCAAGAGACCTTAATAAGTACTCAAGCAAGGATACGTAAGGATTCTACGGCAAGAGACCTTAATAAGTACTCAAGCAAGGATACGTAAGGATTCTACGGCAAGAGACCTTAATAAGTACTCAAGCAAGGATACGAAAGGATTCTACGGCAAGAGACCTTAGTAAGTACTCAAGCAAGGATACGTAAGGATTCTACTGCGAGAGACCTTAATAAGTACTCAAGCAAGGATACGACAGGATTCTACGGCAAGAGACCTTAATAAGTACTCAAGCAGGGATACGTAGGGATTCTACAGCAAGAGACCTTAGTAAGTACTCAAGCAAGGATACGTAAGGATTCTACTGCGAGAGACCTTAATAAGTACTCAAGCAAGGATACGACAGGATTCTACGGCAAGAGACCTTAATAAGTACTCAAGCAGGGATACGTAGGGATTCTACAGCAAGAGACCTTAATAAGTACTCAAGCAAGGATACGTAAGGATTCTACGGCAAGAGACCTTAGTAAGTACTCAAGCAAGGATACGTAAGGATTCTACTGCGAGAGACCTTAATAAGTACTCAAGCAAGGATACGACAGGATTCTACGGCAAGAGACCTTAGTAAGTACTCAAGCAAGGATACGTAAGGATTCTACTGCGAGAGACCTTAAGAAGTACTCAGGCAAGGATACGAAAGGATTCTACTTAGGCAAGGATTATACTGCAAGAGACCTGGATAAGTACTCAAGCAAGGACACGGAAGGGAATAGGGACCTGGATAAGTACCCTAGGACGGCTATTAGAATTATTCATACAATGTATCACTCACCTGGGATGGATGTGTCTTCTGTCGTTGTCCGGCACTGACTCCCTCTTCTCACTCGTTGATCTCCCTTTTATAGCAAGCCCCAACCACGTGTTCTAGCGTGAGATAACGGGACCTTGTTTTGATCAACTTGTCACAACAACATTGGCTGTGATCATCACAACCAATGGCTGTGATGTGTGAGAATAACGGTAACCCCTTGTATTTTGTTGTTTTCTTTTAACCGAGACAAATGAGAAAGTTGAGTTTTAGAATATTTATTTATTATTAAAGAACAAATAACACTGCAAGGTGTGAGCAAAATTGAGTGCCACGATTTTTGGTCGTCACACTTCCCCCTTCCCTGGGGTGGGGTCCTCTTGACCGCGAGGAATGACCGTCACATTGCCCTTCCGGCCAACCAATATCCGCAACCTCTTTCCGCGAACTTCCACGACTCTCTTATATTGGTTGCCTGGTCTATGTAGCGCTAAGGCTGCTTCCAAGTGCGGCTGAAGTTCTCTGTCCGTATCCGGAGATAGCGCTCTTGCGCAGACGAACTCCACCCTCTTCTCTGCTGCCTTTGGTATGACCACCACACTCTTCAACCTCGGTTTGTCTCCCGTGCCTTCCACTGCTTCCGGAACAGCCAACGGTCTCGGGTATTCGGGTTTTGGGAGCCCTTCCAATATTTGCTGGAGGTAGGCAACATCACTCCCTGGACTACCGACGATTGTGCTTCCAAGCGAGGGGCCGCTAGGTGAGTTAGCCTGCATGCCGCGGCCGGGGGTTATAGGGAGCCCATTTGCTTTAGCAGGAACCGGGCTCGCCAGCAACCAACTCCAATCGTCATGGGGTGTTGTTCCCCGCCGAATTCCTTGTTCAGACTGTGGCGAAACCACCGGGGACGGGGTGCTTGGTCTTGAGCTCCTCTCTCTCACTGGCCTTGGCGGGGTATTCAGATCGTCATCCGAGGAAATATACACCACCTCCGGTGCAGCGAGCTCGGCGGTGATCCCTCGGCTGCGTAAAATCTCGAGGGCTCGGGAGACTTCGTTTGGCCTCGGGTAGGGCTGTGCCTTTAATTCTCTCATTAACTGGAGAATGACCTGGGGTGTTAAGCGGTTCAAGCGGACCTCGCAAACTTTGGTGATTGGCCAATCACCACCCTGCTTCCGTGCTGCCTTGGTTTTCATGGTTTAATCTGTAGATGACAAAGAAAAATGGGAAAACGTTAATTTATCACGAACGGTTTGAGTTCACTAAGATGGGCAACACGGGTCGAACGTTTGTCGGGTCCTCGTATTCTAACTATTACTGGCGACACGAATTCTATCACTTCGAATGGCCCATCGTATTTTGGTGCCAGCTTGGCAGCAAACTGATCAATTGCCTTGGACTGTGGGTGCTGCTTTACTAGTACCTTCTCCCCAACTACCGGTTTCCAGGGCCGCCGACGAAGATTATAGTGCCGACGCTGTTCCTCAGCCGCCAGACTGAGTTGGTTCCGGACTATTAAAAAAACTTCTTGTAAGTCGTTCGCTCTCTCCTCAGGTGTTTTGGGGGTGTGTCCTGTACCAGGGACAGCTTCGTCGTAGAGTGCTTTTGGCAATCTAGGTTCACGGCCTTGTACTAAATACGCAGGACTATATCCGGTCGACTCAGAAGTCGCCGTATTTATCGCCAGGGATATTTCCGGTAAGAAGTCGTCCCACCGATTGTGCTTATTCTGGCATACCTGAGCAATCATTGTTTTCACCGTTCTGTTGGCTCTTTCGGTCGGATTTTCTTGTGGGCAATACGGTGCGGTTAGCTGGTGGTGCACTCCGATTTCATCCAAGTATTTCCTAACAACTCTGCTTGTAAATTGACTGCCGTTGTCCGATATAAGGATTTTTGGGGTTCCAAAGCGAGCAAGGATTCTTTCACGGAACGCCTTCACTACCCCTTCCGCAGTCGCTTTTCTCTGTGGTATCAGTTCCACCCATTTGGAGAAACGATCGAAGAAAACCAGGAGCATCGTGTTCCCATGTCTAGTTCGTGGTAAGGGACCTACGTAGTCCGTACAAACAGTGGCCCATGGCTCCTCGGGAACCGACACCAGCATTTCTCCTGCCGGCGCGACCTGATACGGTTTATAGCGTTGACAGGATTCACAACTCCGAACAAATCTGGTGATGTCCCTTGTCATTCCCGGCCAGTAATATCTGCTGCATATGCGGTTGATTGTCTTGCGAATTCCCATATGGCCTGCGGACGTTTGGCTATGATTTTCCTGTAGTACTCGTTGTCTCTGGGGTTCGGGCACACAAAGTTTCCAAGGGGCGCAATCTTCGTCGTGTGAGTTCCCTGCAATATGCCTGAAGAGTTGCTGATTCACCAGCGCATAATCTGCAAATTTCTCCGGGTTTGTTCTCATACCTTCTATCTTCTTCGTTATCCACGGGCATCCGCTGTACTCTATTTTTGCTCTTTGGAGGTATTCCACAGGTTGACGTGACAGTGCATCTGCTACGACGTTACAGCGGCCCTTCCTGTATTGAATCGAAAAAGTGTATTGTTGCAGCTCGAGGGCCCAGCGTGCCAACCTGCCTGTAGGGTTATCGATGGAGTTGAGCCACTTCAAAGATAGATGGTCGGTTATAACATTAAAGTGATAACCTTCTAAATAGGGGCGCATCTTCCGAATACCCCAAACTATGGCTAGACATTCCTTCTCAGTTGCGGAGTAATTTCTTTCTGCTCCAATTAGGACCCTACTAGCATACGCAATGACTCTCTCCGTGCCTTCGAGGACTTGCGTTAATACGGCTCCTAGCCCGTAGTCACTAGCATCTGTTTGTAGTGAAAAAGATTTTGCAAAATCCGGGCAAGCTAGTACCGGTGCTTCTGTCAGACGAAGCTTCAGTATTTCAAAAACTGTTTGCTGGTTCTCGGTCCAACGCCAATGCTTTCCTTTTTTCAACATGGAGGTGAGAGGGTATGCTAAGGTTGCAAAATCAGGAACAAATCTGCGGTACCACGACACTACTCCTAAAAACCGGCGGAGTTCTTTTAGGCAGTTGGGGGTTGGCAGTTCACGAATGGCCGCAACCTTATCTGGGTCCGTGTGGATGCCTTGGGCGCTAACGACGTGGCCGAGGTATTTGGTCTCTTTCTTGAAAAAGTCGCATTTTTCTGGGTTTATGCGCAGATTCACCCTTCGTAGTCTTCGGAACACCTCTCTTAAATTTTCCAAATGTTCTTCTAATGTTTTACCTATGACAATGATGTCATCTAAATAGGCAAATGCGTGTGGTTCCATGTCAGCGCCTATTACGGTGTCGAGGGCACGTTGGAATGTAGCGGGGGCGGAATGCAGTCCAAAAGGCATCACCCGCCATTGGTATAACCCTCTCCCGGGTACAGTGAATGCCGTGTACTTTCTGCTAGTCTCTTCCAATGGTATCTGCCAATATCCATCCTTTAAGTCGAGGCTACTGACAAAATTCGCCTCCCTGAGTCGGTCGAGAATGGACGAGATCCGCGGTAAGGGGTACGCATCGGGATCGGACTTACTGTTTAAATGGCGAAAATCCATACAAAGTCTCCAAGTACCGTTCTTCTTTCGAGCCAATGTAATTGGTGAGTTGTACGGACTACGTGAAGGTTCTATAAATCCCTTACTAAGGAGTTCATTTACCTTTTCCTGGACGATGGCCTGCATTGCTGGGTTCCTTGCTGCATACCGCAGCTTGAATGGCCTATCGTCGTTCATGACAATTCGGTGAGAAGCGACCGTAGAGAATCCGTGCAACTCCTGAAATTTGCTTAGTTCTTCGTTGAGGAAAGCGTTTATCCTTTCTTGATCAGTGGGGCTTAGCACACTTACCGTGGGTGACAAGGTAGGTTCTTGCAATCCCGGGTTTATCGTGTTTGTGCCGTCGTCTTTCTCGGATTCCGGTGGTTGGTGTGTGGTTACTGTCAGGTGTAGATGCTTTTCGATTGTTCTCTCTGTTTCTTCGATACACGGTATGACACAGCTTAACCCAGCACAAAGTATTTTAGTCCTGCTCCGTTGGAGAAAATCCATCCCCAAGATTATATCTTCGCTGGCGTGGGGCATAATCAGGAATTCCATTTTCATTCTGCATTGTCCAAAGATTAGATCGGTAACCACCGAATGCTGAACTCTCCGTTGTGACCCGTCTGCCAACCCGATCGTTATATCCTGTGTTCTCTGTATGGTTTGGGGATCGATCGTCTGGGCGTACGCCTCACTTATGAAGCTCCTGGTTGCCCCTGTGTCAACGGTGGCCAGGTAACGCCGACTGTGAATTATAATTTCTGCAATTATGCGTGAGGCGGTACTGTAGAGCGATGTTCCTCCTGAGTTGGAGTGGGTGTCTGCGAGCCCACATTCTCTACCTCCATGCGGACTCGATGCTCGTTTCCCGATCGCTTTCGACAGCACTGTATCGTCCGAATGCCTCTTCGACCACACTCCCAGCAGAAGAGCTTCTGTGGATTGCGGCATCCAGCTGCGAAATGGCCCTCCTGGCCGCATCTTCGACAAGCCGTGGCTGTGTTGATCGGTACCTCACGCATACTCTCCGAGCTTCGTGACTCAATTCGGTGGTGGTGATCTCTGGCTACGGTTGGCATGGTCGGGATATCCTCTAAGTCTTCGGCCATCTCTAAGAGGCCCGCCAGATTGGTGAAGTCCCTCCGTCTGATGTACCACAAGTATTCCGGTAAGGCATTCTTAAAAATTCGTTCCATTTTCTGCTCCTCGTTGTAACTAGTGTGTCTCATTAGGTCTTGCATCGCTAGCATGTAGTTCTTGAACAGTTCACGCGGCTTCTGTTTTCGTTGCCGGATTTCGTCCTCCAAATTCTCCATAAACCTCGGAGGGAGGAAGAATTTCAAGAAATCCTTTCGAAATTCCTCCCAGGATCGCCAGGGTTTTCTGTTGTTCCGGAACCACATCAATGCCCGACCATGAAGCACTTCTGGCATTACGGTGATCAAATTGCCGTTAGGGATCTGGTACATCTCCGCCCTTTCTTCCAATCTCTCAACGAATTCCAAAGGTTTACTTTCACCGGTGAAGCTTATGCCCCACTTCCGTACTTGTTCCGCGATTGTTTGCACGTCTGGTGTTTTCTTGCCCCGGGACATTGGTACTTCTATCCGAGTTGCCTCTTCGCCATCTGTTTCTGCGCTCAGTTTCCTAGGCGTCGCCACCTTCGTGTCCCTCTCATGTATAGCTTGGATTTCTAACAGTCTTTTCATAATCTCCGGGGGGTGGTATTGGGCTATGTACATCGCGAATCGCTTTCGTTGTTCTTCAACCGTTCCATCGGTATCGCAGTTAAACTCGTCGAGGTACCTATTTAAATCGTCCTTACGAAGGCTGTACGCCCAGGACACACGTAAATCTACCGACATTTTATAGAATTCTTAATACACTCTCTAACTCTCTCTGTCCCTGCTCGGGCGCCACTGTAACGACAGGTTTCCCCTTAGGCTGGAGTAAGCTCGCCGGGGCCAAGGTTCGTAACAGAAAATTTGTTTGTGTGCGAGAGAGAAAGAGAAAGACGAGTGTTTTACGTTCTATAATGTTTATTCCGTACGCAATAGAGGTATATACAAAGTAAACTGAGATATTGCTTAATACTACTAGGATGACGTCTGTCCGAGATTAGGTGGGTAACTTTTGCCGTCCTTCGAAATGGAGACCTAGATAAGTACTTCTGGTGGGGAATGGACTGGGATGTTGGGAGTTGGAGACCTGGGTAAGTACTCTCACACAGGATACTCTCACTGGGATTCGGATTTTCCAGTTACGTAGGTCTATTGGGGAAATAAGCTAGGCAATACACACGAATTCTACTGCGAGAGACCTTGATAAGTACTCAGGCTAGGATACATAAGGATTCTACGGCAAGCGACCTTAATAAGTACTCAAGCAAGGATACGTAAGGATTCTACGGCAAGAGACCTTAATAAGTACTCAAGCAAGGATACGTAAGGGTTCTACCGCAAGAGACCTTAATAAGTACTCAAGCAAGGATACGTAAGGATTCTACGGCAAGAGACCTTAATAAGTACTCAAGCAAGGATACGTAAGGATTCTACGGCAAGAGACCTTAATAAGTACTCAAGCAAGGATACGTAAGGGTTCTACGGCAAGAGACCTTAATAAGTACTCAAGCAAGGATACGTAAGGATTCTACGGCAAGAGACCTTAATAAGTACTCAAGCAAGGATACGTAGGGATTCTACAGCAAGAGACCTTAATAAGTACTCAAGCAAGGATACGTAAGGATTCTACGGCAAGAGACCTTAATAAGTACTCAAGCAAGGATACGTAAGGATTCTACAGCAAGAGACCTTAATAAGTACTCAAGCAAGGATACGTAAGGGTTCTACTGCAAGAGACCTTAATAAGTACTCAAGCAAGGATACGTAAGGATTCTACGGCAAGAGACCTTAATAAGTACTCAAGCAAGGATACGTAAGGATTCTACGGCAAGAGACCTTAATAAGTACTCAAGCAAGGATACGAAAGGATTCTACGGCAAGAGACCTTAGTAAGTACTCAAGCAAGGATACGTAAGGATTCTACTGCGAGAGACCTTAATAAGTACTCAAGCAAGGATACGACAGGATTCTACGGCAAGAGACCTTAATAAGTACTCAAGCAGGGATACGTAGGGATTCTACAGCAAGAGACCTTAGTAAGTACTCAAGCAAGGATACGTAAGGATTCTACTGCGAGAGACCTTAATAAGTACTCAAGCAAGGATACGACAGGATTCTACGGCAAGAGACCTTAATAAGTACTCAAGCAGGGATACGTAGGGATTCTACAGCAAGAGACCTTAATAAGTACTCAAGCAAGGATACGTAAGGATTCTACGGCAAGAGACCTTAGTAAGTACTCAAGCAAGGATACGTAAGGATTCTACTGCGAGAGACCTTAATAAGTACTCAAGCAAGGATACGACAGGATTCTACGGCAAGAGACCTTAGTAAGTACTCAAGCAAGGATACGTAAGGATTCTACTGCGAGAGACCTTAAGAAGTACTCAGGCAAGGATACGAAAGGATTCTACTTAGGCAAGGATTATACTGCAAGAGACCTGGATAAGTACTCAAGCAAGGACACGGAAGGGAATAGGGACCTGGATAAGTACCCTAGGACGGCTATTAGAATTATTCATACAATGTATCACTCACCTGGGATGGATGTGTCTTCTGTCGTTGTCCGGCACTGACTCCCTCTTCTCACTCGTTGATCTCCCTTTTATAGCAAGCCCCAACCACGTGTTCTAGCGTGAGATAACGGGAACTTGTTTTGATCAACTTGTCACAACAACATTGGCTGTGATCATCACAACCAATGGCTGTGATGTGTGAGAATAACGGTAACCCCTTGTATTTTGTTGTTTTCTTTTAACCGAGACAAATGAGAAAGTTGAGTTTTAGAATATTTATTTATTATTAAAGAACAAATAACACTGCAAGGTGTGAGCAAAATTGAGTGCCACGATTTTTGGTCGTCACAAAATGTCATAATTTTTTTTTTTTTTTTTTAATTTCATTGAATGAAACCAAAAAATGTCGGAAATGTCATCAAATTTTAGAATAAGTTTAGATGTGTCCGAATTGGTCACCTTTGGCACGAATTATGACCTTCAAACGGACAATGGAACCGTCACACGCTGCCCGTATGTTGCTCTGCGGTATTTTGGCCCATTCCCGGCGAAGCGCTTGCTTTAGGTGATCGACACTTTGGTATTTTTTAGTGCCAACCTTGCTTTGCAGAATACTCTAGACGGATTTGAAAAAACGGATTGATATCCGGAGATTTTGGCGGCCACTGAAGCGAGGAACCTCATTTTGTAACCATTCTTGGGTTGCGCGTGCTGAGTGCGATGGTGCTGAGTCCTGTTGGAATGTCCAAGGCCTGTGGCCAAAATGTTTGCGTGCCCAAGGCTTACCCCTCCAGAATATTTTCGCGATAATATTCGGCATTTTTTTCTGATGGAAAAGCGACCACCGGCCCACACCATCACCAAAGACCTTTATGATCTAGAGAGAGAGGTACAGAGGTGTAAGAGAGAGCCTCTAGATCAACAGGCCTATCAAGCGGGACTGCATAGTATTCACTCTAATGCGGTCTCAGAAGCCATTGATGGATATATAGTGAATACTGTGCTCCCGTCAACGAGAGCTGCCCCGACAAACCCGAGTAGTTTTGCCTCAATTACGATCTGGATGGTGCAGCCGCCTAAATTCCTACTGGGCCCGGATTAACAGCGACGTGCAGAACATCTGCCCAGCATGTGGCACAGGCCCACATGACACGCTGCACCTATTTCGCTGCCCAGCTAAGTCTACTCACCTAACTCCAGTCTCGTTATGGACACAACCCATACAGGTTGCATCATTTTTGAGACAGGACTTAGAGGCAGAACCTGATTGAATTGAGTCAGAAAATGGAAACCGAACGAACACAGATGTATGAGCTGCTACAACAACAACCATGGCCGACGCTTGAGTTCTGGTGGCCAGCCGAGGATGCACATATTCAGCTGACCTCTTTGGCAAGTAAACACGATCAACACGATGACCAACCGAAGGTTCAAATTTTCATTTTGTTTGTTTACAAACTGCTGGACAACGAATGTTTTCTCATCGGAGAAAACCAAATTCGGCAGTTCACCACTTTCGTTCTTGCACTTTTTGGAATTTCAATGGCTTTACAACGAGCTCTTTTTTTAAAATTTGCCGAATGGAATATTGCGATATGTTCAGCTTACGAGTCATTTTTTCGGCTGATGTGGTGATACTATAGATGTAACGAAATGAGTTATTCTGTGTGTAACCAAACGCTCAAAAAGTTTGGGAATTTCACGTAGTTTTGCAATACCCCAATAATTTCCAATAAAACATCTACTATCAGATTTATGCAGTGGAATATTTAAAGCTCGAACGCCAAATGACAGAAAAATAGCATATGGTTAGCGATTTATTATAGATACTTGTTAGAGGAAGATATAGGTCATGTGCACACACTTGCCATTATCCGGTATATATTAGGAATTTTTGTTATACCCTCCACCATAGTATGGAGGGTATATTAAGTTTGGCATTCCGTTTGTAACACCTCGAAATCTACATTTTACACCCCACACAGTGTATATATTCTTGATTAGCATAAAATTCTATGTCGACTTAGCAATGTCAAATTTACTCAAATTTGTAATATGTCTGCAGGACTTTTGGAATTAAATAAGGGGCCATGTAGGTCCGCGTCTTCGTATAGCTCCCATATAACGGTACCCCCCGATATGCGGTATTTTGATGATTTTAGCGACATTATTTACCGGAATTGTTTCAAATTTTGTATTTGAAATTCGTAATGGATACTACAGCCTATGACAGAAAATTGACTGTGCAGGTCCACGTCTTCGTATAGCCCCCATATAACGGTACCCCCGATATTCGGTATTTTGATGATATTAGCGACATTATTTACCGGAATTGTTCCAAATTTGGTATTTGAAGTTTGTAATAGATACTACAGCTTAAAACAGAAAATGGACCATGTAGGTCCACGTCATCGCATAGACCCATATAACGGGTAACCCCCCCCCCCCCGTTTTTCGGTATTTTGATGATTTTAGCGACATTATTTACCGGAATTGTTTTGAAATTTGCATTTCAAGTTCGTAATGGATACTACAGCATAAGACAGAAAATGGGCCATGTTGGTCCATGTCTTCGTATAGCGCCCATATAACGAGCACTCCATGTTAATAAGAAATACTAAGCGAAACAGTGTAGTAATCAATTTACAGTAACAGCCTAAAAGTATGCTTAAGAAAGACATTTTATTATGAACAGAACTGCAAAAGGGAATCAGACACAAATGTCATCAAAAACAAGTTAAAAAGCGGTAAGTTCGGCCGGGCCGAGCTTTGAATACCCTCCACAATTTGAAACGAATTTGGAAATTTAAAAAAAATAAAATTCTTAAAAAATGCTGTTAAATTTTAAAAATACCGAATATAGCCGTTATATAGCGGTCTATACGACGTGGACCTACATAGGCATTGTTTGCCATTAGCCATTACCATATTCAAATTCGAAACTTGAAATAAGCGTGAATAATGTAGCTAAAATCATCAAAATATCGTATATAGGGAGGTACCGTTATATCGGAGCTGTGCGAAGACCTGGACCAGCATAGACAATTTTCTGTCGCAGGCTATAGCATCCATTACTAACGTCAAATACGATATCTCAGACCATTTCGGTGGGTATTGTACCTAAAATCGTCAAAATACCGAATATAGGGAGATATTGATATATGAGGCCTATACGAAGACCTGGACCCGTACAGACAATTTTCTGTCACAGACTGTAGTTCCCATTACGAACTCTAAATACGTAATTTGAAACAATTCCGTTGAATAATGTCGCTAAAATCATCAAACTACCGAATTTTGGGAGGTACCGTTATATGGGGGCTATACGAAGACGTGGACCTGCACAGACAATTTTCTGTCATAGGCTGTAGTATCCATTACGAATCTCAAATGCCAAATTTGAAACAATTCCGGTGAATAATGTCGCTAAAATCATCAAAATACCGAATATCGGGAGGTACCGTTATATGGGGGCTACATAATAACTTGGACCTACATGGCCCATTTACGAACTTAACCTGCCTACTGGAAAAATATACATGTGTGCAAAATTTTAGCCTTCTATCTCAATTAGTTCGAAAGATAGCGTGACTACAACAGACAGACAGACAGACGGACATGGCTAAATCGTCTTAGAATTTTACGCTGATCAAGAATATATATACTTTGTTGGGTATATCATGAGTATTTCGAGGAGTTACAAACGGAATGACAAAATTAATATACCCTCCATAGTATGGTGGAGGGTATAAAAACATTAAGTGGACCTATACATACAATGTTCCGCCAACGGAGCTAGAACCTGTTATGACCAACTAATTCCAATTTTTAGACAATTCCGTGGAAAAATGTGACAAAAACCTTTCAAAATACCGAATATTGGGAGATACCATAGCGTGGACCTATACATACAATGCATCGCCACACGAACTAGGACCCATTATGACCTACAAATACCAATTCTCAGACAAATCCGTGAAAAAAATATGGCAAAAATCATCAAAATACCGAATATTAGGAGATACCGTTATATGGGGGTTATACCATTACGTGGACCTATGCATACAATATTTCGCCAACAGAGCTAGAACCCATTATGACCACCAAATACTAACTTTTAGACAAACCCATGAAAAAATGTGCCGAAAATCATCAAAATACTGAATATCGGGAGGTACCGTTATATGGGGGCTATACCAAAACGTGGACCTATGCATACACTGTTTCGCCAACGGAGCTAGAACCTATTATGACCGACAACTACCAATTTTTAGACAAATCCATGAAAATATGCGGCAAAAATCATCAAAATACCGAATATTAGGATATACCGTTATATGGGGGCTATACCATAATGTGGACCTATACATACAATGTTTCGCCAACGGAGCTAGAACCTATCATGACCAACAAATACCAATTTTTAGACAATTCCGTGGAAAAATGTGACAAAAACCTTCAAAATACCGAATATTGGGAGATACCGTTATATGGGGCTATACCATAGCGTGGACCTATACATACAATGTTTCGCCAACGGAGCTAGAACCCATTATGACCAACAAATACCAATTTTTAGACAATTCCGTGGAAAAATGTGACAAAAACCTTCAAAATACCGAATATTGGGAGATACCGTTATATGGGGGCTATACCATAGCGTGGACCTATACATACAATGTTTCGCCACACGAACTAGGACTCATTATGACCTACAAATACCAATACTCAGACAAACCCATGAAAAATTGTGGCAAAAATCATCAAAATACTGAATATCGGGAGGTACCGTTATATGGGGGCTATACCAAAACGTCGACCTATACATGCAATATTTCGCCACCGCAGCTAGAACCCAATATGACCGACAAATACCAATTTTTAGACAAATCCATGAAAAAATGCGGCAAAAATCTTTAAAATACCGAATATTGGAAGGTACCGTTATATGGGGGCTGGACCAAAACGTGGACCGATATATGTCATTTTCAATACCAACCATCCTAGACACAATTCAAATTATTCTGCTAAATTTTGACGCTCTACGTCAAATAATGTGGCATGTATCGTGATTTCAACATACAGACGGACATCGTTAAATCGACTTAGAATTTTATGCTGATTACGAATATATATACATTATGGGGTCTACGACGAATATCTAGACATGTTACAAACGGAATGACAAAGTTAATATACCCTCCTTTCCAAAGTGGAGGGTATAAAAATCGTACAAAATGAAACATTACAATGGCATATTCCAAAAGTTATAAGCGTATTAACCAACACAACATTTCTTTTATATTAATAGACTAGCTGGCCCGGTCAAAGATATGAATGTTATAAAT